CGAAGATCAGATAATTGTATTGCTATTATAGTTGATCTCGCCGAATAATGATGTCATGACACTTAAAAACACCAAAAATATTAGGAAATATCTATCAGACATTTACCATTCTTGTTATACAAAATATGATATCGGCAATGAATCATCGTTATTATTATGTTTCCTTCCCATATAAAATCGACGCGACCGAGAAACGTTCCATAAAATATATCTTTGGAATCTCTCTTACAAGATTTTTAATATTTTATGAAGATTTTATACTGCCTTCTATATCAAACACATACAGTATGTCACGTCTGAGCTATAAATTGTTCCGATATAAATTATATTCAGTCGTGTTTCGCACATTCAAATATAAAAGTAATGACTCAGGGAATATTTCAGGGTAGAGATCGTTTTGAGTCTTGAGTTGGAGATCTGAATTTTTCATTATTCTGATTCACTTTTTTCGTGTTTGTTTGGTATGAAGTATTGAATCGATATGTCGAACTTCTTTATTCTGACCTAATTTAAACTGGTGTTTGTGAGACAATCTACTAGAATTATTTATGAAGACATATAGATATTTCACATGTACTGTGATATGCTTCAAATAATAAATACAAAACTAGAAGTGAAAAATTTATATAATTAATTGTATTTTTTTACTTTTATTGCTCAAGTTTTTATATATAAAAAACAGTTATCCAGAGATTTATGAGATTGTTAACGAATTATGTTATGCCGAACTATTATAGTTCTTTGAACCACCAGTTAATCCTTTTTTAACTAGAAGTGGTAATGTATCAATATTTTACATGATTGTTGTTTGATTACCTTTAAGTAGTAAACCCAACTCAGGCAGGAAGAGCAAAGAAAAAGCAAAAAGAAAAAATTCATATTTTTTGTATAGTTCCATTGCATGTTTACAATCTACTCTATACACAGAGTAATAAGTAAATAGTTTGTAAGTAACTTAACGTGAGTTAGGTACTGTCCAGTGACGGTTCTCTAGTATTATTGAGGTAGGTCTTCTGGCCATCTCTTCCATCTTCTTTCGGCAGGTGGTTGGGTGAATAAATTATTTATCACTTCGTTGTTGTGATCAGTGGTGCGATTTTTATATTTTATTGAGTGATTGTTATGTCCTTAAGTAGTGGGATGTTCAGATCATTGTGAAGTGTTTGGTTAGGTACATACCATGCAGCTTTACTTATCAAATGTTTGAAGTATCTTCGTATTTGAAGGTTTACTACAGTCCCATAGTTCTATTTCATATGCCCAAACTGGTATGAGTATAGGTTTTTACAGAAACAGTTTATTTTCAAGAGATAACTGAGACCTTTTGTTAAATAACCAGTTCATATTTTTTAGATTAGGATCTAGTTGTTTCCGTTTGGTTTTAATTTGTTTTTTTAGATGTGCATCCAGGTGCAATCCCAAGTACTTGACAACTGGTTTTATGGGAATGGGAGTATTATTAATAAAAACTTGTAGACATGTAGATTTCTTGTTGTAAAAGTAATTTATACTGATTTACTGGCATTAACATTGATCTTCCATCGCTTAAGCCAGTTTTGTAATTGGTCAAAACGATTTTGTGCTTTTTGCGATGCTGCATTAGGGTCAATATCCACTGTCAAGATTCCCGTGTCATCGGCAAAAGTAGTTAAGAAGATATTGCTGGTGGAAACTTCTGCTGTAAATATGAGATACAGAAATCGGTACAGAACGCTACCGTGAGGTACGCCAGATAACTTGAGTAGCTGTCTTCAATTTTGACTTGGAAGTAACGGTCGGTAAGATTTTAGTATAAAGTAGAGTAGGTCTCTAAGGTGTATTTTCAGTTTAGCAGGAGACCTTTATGCCATACTCTATCAAATGCCTGTTGCATATCGAGAAACACTCCAGCGCAGACATTTTTTCTCTTCTCGAGTTGTTTTAATTACATTTAGTATTCTGTTGCATTGTTGGATGGTTAAGTGTTCTAAATCTGAATTGGTGTTGTGGTATAATTTTGTTTATGGGAGCAACTTGCCCGTTTTTATGTAATAGTAGCCTTTCTAATACTTTCGACATTATTGGGAATATGCTGATAGGCCGATATGAATTTGCTTGTGTTGCAGGCTTACCAGGTTTCGAAAACATAATAACTTGAGCAAATTTCCATTGTATTGGAAAGTAGCGAATACTTAGTATGCTGTTGTATATTATTGTTAATAACACCACTGCTTTTCTCAGTAGCTTCTGAAGTAATTCTCCTGTTTTCAAATCATAGTCAGGGACTTTCGAATCTGTGTCGGAGTAAAAATGTTGTCAGAGGAAGAATGAAGAGTTAGTTGACATGAAGTTTCGAGGTACATTCTTATATCATCATCTTTATCGTTATTAGTATCTGGTTCTGAGAATACATATGCAAGATGATCTGCGAATACTGTTGTCTTTTCTGCGTTTGTGCGGGCCCATGTCAGATCTGTTTTACTTAAAGGTGAATTTGTTATTGTCGGTCGTTTAAATTTTTTGGTAGCTTTCCATATACTATACAGTGGTCTTCATGTGACGGGTTCGAAACGTACAACTGGAAAGAGTCGTTGTTTTCTTCATGTAATGCTCTATTTAGCCTATGAATTATCCTGTTAGGTACGTTTTATTTAGTGGATGTCTCATTTGTTGCCATATGCGTCGAGCTCTTCTTTTTTCTGCTACAAGTTCTCTTATAAGGAGGAGGATATTACGGTTTTCTTGTACACTTCTTTGGCGCTTTGGTGTTCCTTCCAATGCTGTTGTTTGTAAAACTGTTTTTAATTAGTCTACTGCTTTCTTTACATCTTGGTTTTGTTTTATCCTAATGTCTAGTTTAATCTTTGTATTTACAGAATTTTGGAAAACATTTCAGTTTGTTTCTTTAGTTGTGAGTTTGGTTGGTGGTGTTCTCCATATTAAGTGTGTGCTGTTATTTTTAAATCGAAGTTTGACTCTACTGTACTATGAATGTTAGATATTCCTTTTGTTACAGCAAAATCTATCAAATCTGGAATTTTGTTTGAGTCCGTAGGCCAATTTGTGGGTTCTCCCGTTGATAAGTCTTTTAAGTGATTTTGTTGAATGATATTCATTAATGCTCGACCTTTAAGCGTGATGAATCTGGAATCCCAAGTGGTTTGTTTGGCATTCCAGTCTCCTGCTACTATGAATTTGGATCCAAGAGTTTGTATCAAATCATGATACTATTCGCTTGAAATGAGATGTCTAGGTGGGCTGTAGACTACACCGAGAGATGTGTTTGTTTCGATTTTTAATGATTGCTGCTTGAATGTTTTCCGTAATATAAGGTTGGACTTCTCCAAGTTGGTGTTTAATTTTTGATTTACCTAATAAAAACGAGAGCCTGTATGTGCTCCTCCGTCTGGATGGTGTGCATAATACACAAGGCTAGTAAGGTATCTTAGTAACCCTTCTTTGTGTGGCATGGCTTTCAGATATTAATAGAATGTCCATATTAGTTATTTTAGAAAACAGTGATATCTCTATTATATAGTTTCAATTAATGTGTTTAACATGGTTAAAATCATGCTATCTTGGTTTAAGAGTTGAGAGAACATATTTTTGAATTTGTTTAGGAAATTTGAGTTATCTGCTAATTCATTGTTGTTATTTTTGTTATCTGCATTTATGTTTCCAATGGCAGCATCTCTATAACTGATTCTGTTGAAATTATGAGCATGATCTTGGGTAGGTATATTTATATTGGTACTGTTAACAGGATTTTAAGTGTAAGTTGTTTTGATTTGTCATTGTATGTGACATTTAGTAGTTCATGATAAACAGAACATCCTCAGAATGATGGTCTCATTTTGCAGTGAGTGCAAGTGGCTGACGGGATTTTTGGTTTCTTGTAGTCCTTTGTATTGTGTGATCCAACGCATTTTACGCAATTATATGGTTTTGCACAGTACATTTTAGTGTGACCATATTCTTGCTATCGTGTACATTGTGGTATATTTCTTTAAATTCTCAGTGGTTCTACAATGTTATATATACTGTAGTTCAAATATTTCTTTGTTGTTCGTTTGAGGCTCGAGGCCCACAAAAAATAATGGTAATGGTTCAGGGCTCAATTTGTGTCATGACATTTGTAATGTTCCTTACCTTATGACCCTTTTTCTGGATTTCCGTTTTTTTTCATTTATCTGAAAGGAGTGATGTAGGTCTCAAATAACTGCTCTATATGCTCTCTCTTCCTTAGGTTGGTATGTAACGTGGACGATTTTTTTCTCTCGTACGTGATGTGTTAGTTTTCTGTAAGTATCAGGTGTCTTTGGTAAATTTTTTATTTTGTTGTTTGTGAAAGCTTTAGTAAAGTAAGTTTCTACTTCTTCTGTTTGAACTAAACTATCTATCATTTTGCTATAGCCATTCACACGCTATATATAAAAATTGGAGAGGGTTTTGCGATTGGTGGATTTTATTCGTATCATTTACTGAGTTTCCTGTACAAAATGACAGAAACCTATTTGAGAGTGTAATTGGAGCTTTTTTTCTTTTGAATCTTCATGTTTAATCATTTTTCCTTTTGATCTTATTGTTTTGCCATCGGTATTTATTATTTTGAGAGTCTTCATGTTCTTCACCTGACATCGAATCATATTCATTCTGTGTTTCTGGATTAGTTTTTAATTGTAGAGGCACTAGACGTGAAATCAAATGTTAACTGTATTTTCTACATTCTCAATTGATTTTCATCAGTGGTTGAAAGGGTCTAGGCTCACATCCATATGTGACCACTATTTTTAACGTACTTTTTAAGAATTTGCTAGACAAATATGTAAGAATGACAAAAGGTCCTACAATAAAAAAAAATGTAAAAGCGAGTACATATACCTATGAAGATTAGAACCAGTAGTGGGACTAATTATCACAATTTATTTCTTAAAAAACATAATGATGATTTAAAGCAGTTCAATTTACCATTCTCTACATTTTTGTACATTTACTAATATACATTTCTTTTTTTGTTGCAGTATGGATCCGACGAATTCCATGAATCCCCCCGATACACATCACCCGGAGCAAATCCATATTATTTAGCGGCAGATGGCACGCCGAATCCAGGAGTGGGGGGCAACGCCCCCGTAGCACCGACCCCCGGAGGACCACCAGGTAGTAGCGAATGGCCCTCTTCATACACATACCAAACCTACGAAGCCTTTGGCCTTATACCAGAGACAGAACCGCCTGGGCAAGGCTTACCGCCGATGTCGTCGTTAAGGCCTAACGGTACACCCACTGCCACTACCTTGGCCGGACCCATCACACCCTTCGGACCAGCTAATACAGATACCGTTGTTAATAAAGGACTGGGTGGTGTAAGTACCCTCCTTTATTATTTATAGCATACATGTTCTCGTGATATATGCTTGTTGTTTTGGAAGCCCTTTGCTAAAGGCCGTCCGTCAGCCAATTGGCTTATTGTACGAATTCTGAAGTTAAATTTTTGAATTTTGAATTTTGAATTTTGAATTTTGAATTTTGAATTTGAATTTTGAATTTTGAATTTTGAATTTTGAATTTTGAATTTTGAATTTTGAATTTTGAATTTTGAATTTTGAATTTTGAATTTTGAATTTGAATTTTGAATTTTGATTTGAATTTTGAATTTTGAATTTTGAATTTTGAATTTGAATTTTGAATTTGAATTTGAATTTTGAATTTGAATTTTGAATTTTGAATTTTGAATTTTGAATTTTGAATTTTAATTTTGAATTTTGAATTTGATTTTGAATTTTGAATTTTGAATTTTAAATTTTGAATTTTAAATTTGAAATTTTGAGTTTTCCATTCTTGTTACCTTCTGGCGGCCATTCAGATAATGGTTATTTTGTTCCACTTGAATAAGCCGCTTTTTTAACTTTTAACAGAACATTTATTAAATCTAAAGGTCACCTAGGGTAATATAATTAAGTGAGCAGAAGTAAACTTGATAATAGTCAAGAAAAAAAAGAAAACAAAAACTACCTACATCTCTTGTGAACCTAACTTCACTATCACTATGCATCATTGCCAAATAATGATAAACCCCGACTAATATCCTTTAAAGTGAGCTTTTAAAGCTGATTTTTCAAATGGATTTAATTTCTACCTTTTAGTTCTTTATAAGAAGAAATCATAATTGTGACTTTTTTGTAATTATATGATTTGCAGATGAGGAGTTGAATTTTCTGTATTGAATATTGAATATGAATATTAACGTAAGCAAAATAAAGAGATTTTATTTATTTATCTTTATACAATAAGAACACACAAAGATCAATATAAAACGTTACATGCAGTATTACAAACGAACATCTAATGTATTTTTAATATAATGTAAAACATTTTCGGACACATTCAGGAACTTATCGAAAACTCCAGGGAATCGCCTTTCTTCAACAATGTGACGGACGGTCTGTCGTTGCGCACCACAGTCACACTCAGGAGTAAGGCTTTTCCCCATTTATATAAGCTGTCAGCACATCTACCGTTGCTTGATCTTTTTCTGTTTTCTGTTTAGCGTTGTTCATGTATTGCGGGCAGTTCAAAGCCTGACGGTTGCTGATCGGTACAGGCTATTTGGTGTGCTTCCTGCGGTGAGTCGCTCTCCCATTGTCTTCTCCAAGCGTTGATGAGGTTGACATGTTCCTGATGTAAGGAGTTGACTCTTAACAATTGAGGATATGTGGAGCACAGTCTGCTTATTTCGATATCAAGCTTATCATGGTGGATGGATAGTTGACGGTTATAGAAGATAATGACTTCTTCGCAGTTTCGGCTGTGTAATCTGGCTCAGAATGGGAAGCCAATAGTTCGGTGTGGGTCTAATTGTACCTGAGATTGTGTGGTTTAATTGGGTGTCAATAATCTTCGTGTTTTACTATTGAGCTATATCGGGGAAGCATATTCAACCGCCGAGTATACAAGTCCGAGGGCGGATGATCTGTGTACGGAGGCTGAGGAAACCCATGTGGTGCCACATAACTTTTGGACTATATTATTTCGCGTTTTCAATTTTTGCTGCCGTTCTCTGTAGGTTTTCTTTAAAAAACTTAATGTTCTGTCCAGAGTCACTCCAAGATATTTTGGTTATGAGTGAGCAGTCTGTTTTCAAAGTGAACAGAAAGTCTTTTGTTGGCTTGGGCATTATTCAGATGGAAACTTCGATAAGAACACTTCGGTTTTCGTTGCATTGGGCCGTAGCCTCCATTTGCGAAAGTATTCTCTCATAACGGCAAGGTCATCCGTTAGTATTGTTTCTGTAATATACATGTTATTATGTCTTGCTGCAATGGTCCAGTCGTCAGCGTAGCTAAATTTCTGCGAAGTTGTCCGAGGTAGATCCGCGATGTATAAATTAAACAGTAAAGGTGCCAAAATAGATCGCTGTGGCAGTCCATCGCTGAGCTTCATTTGGACACTTTTAAAGTTGCCCATTGTGACTTGAAAAGGCCTGTGAGTTTAATTACCTTTTCACCTAGATGGCACGGATTAATTTGCAGATTAGTCCTTGTCTCCAGACAGTATCGTATGCAGCTGATAGGTCGATAAAAGCAAGGATATTTTTTGCTTTCTCTGTGTTGTTAGGGATAGGATCTGATCTGTGCAGCTGCGGTTAGGTCTGAACCCTATTTGATGAATAGGTATCAATTCAAATATGTTTCTACTTTCTGTTGTAGAATAAGTGTTCCAACAGTTTATAGACACAGCTCAGCAGTGCAATCGGTCGGTAGTTTTGGGGCTGATCATTTGTCTTTTCTGGTTTTAATATGGCTATCATGGAGGCTTTTTTTATGGAGTAAAAATTCTGGATGGAGTTTATCGGAGCAAGGTGCCTTTCCAGACTTAGTTTTTGATAATGCTGAAATAATTTCTTCTGGGGTAAACTAATCAGATTATTCAGATGTAGGCGGGCAGATGTATTTTTAATCCTTGTTTTACTTTGGTGGTGTGGTCACCATCTCTAGGTACTCTTGAGGTTGCTACAATGTGGGAGGCCACTCTGTTGGGAGCCTTTTCATCCCATCCTGGGTCATATTCTTTACGATATCCTCTGGGTATAGTTTTCTTCGCTGTAGAGATAACCGTGCCAACAAATATTATGTAGTTTGCACGTGTTGGGATTTTCAATCCCAGATATTTGTCCAATCTCTCAGTAAAAGTCGCCCAGTGTTTTTTGAAAGTTCCACGCAGGTTGAGGAAAACATGATATTGGTATTTTGATGCCAACTTCTATTACAACTGGTCTATATTGGCTATGTGAAAAATCTGGGAGTACTGTAGGTTAAGCTGCCAGTGGTTGATTGTTTTCATTTGTGGAAAGAAAACATAGGTCATAGTCCAGGCTGCAGATCGAAAAGTTCCCCGATCTTTAGCGTCAAAGACTGCTAAATAAGTGTCAGCCTTTTCGCTGCAGTTTAGCAGAGCCTCGCCATTTTGATTACTGTACTTATAGTTCCAGAGTTCATGATGACTGTTGAAGTCTCCAACATAAATTGAGGGGTGTGGGTGGACGTGAATAACATGCGGAGGCCACAAGACTGCCGGGGGTTTATAAATATTGCTGACAGTAATTTCGTCAATTTGTATAGTTACCATAGTATATGAATGTGAAGAGTGTAGTGTGTGTGTGTGTGTAGAGTAATTGTCTTGATACTTAGCAAAGTCGATGTCATTGTCTTTGCTAAGAGACGCTAATTGTATCCGAATGTCTGCGGTCCCTCCGGTGAGTACCGATCGCACAAGGATAGAAATTATTTTCATTTATTAATTTTTAATAAACGAAAATTTCTCCGCCCAGATGAGATTCGAACTCACAACCTTTAGGTTCAAAGGTAGGCGCTCTTACCACTGAGCCACAGAGGGCATTTTCATATAAGAGAGCATAGAACATATGTGTGCATTTTCTATTTTGTTTCGAGCAGAGGTTGACACTTCATAAGTTGGATGGTAAGTTGCACCCAATAAATCATAGCCATGAATTCCTCCTCTAGCGGGAAGTTATTCTACGTTTTCTACATGGGTTTCCTGAATTGAGACACTTCAATGAGTACATTCTGAAGGTACTCACATTTACTTCGAGTAGGTTCGAGTTTTTTTTGTCGCTTAGTTCTGAGAAGGACCATTTAAAATATTGGTTCGAGGCATCTCTTATATTCGTGATGTGTTCTTGCCAGGAGATCTAGAGATTCTAGATTGTCTAGCTGCCTATTGTGCTAGTTCATCTAGCATTACCCAGGGTGCACGTGTAGTATTCTACTACGGACGCGAACTGGCTTTACACCCCAATAAAGATATTAATGGAGGGGAATAGAATAAAAAAAAGTGAAACTCGAATGTTTATTCAATAAGCAGTAAATTGAATAACACAAGTATAGTGAACCATAAATTATTGGAAAAGATGAAACAAGACAATCAATTTATCGAGGAAAATGTATTTTTTAATGAACGAAAAGTGAAAGTTTTTGGAAAGTTTGTAAACTATTTTCCGTCACACGGAAAACACTAGAACTGAAGAACTCTAGGATTTTCACTTCAGATAAATAGAAAAATTTCTCCCATCTCTGAAATTGAATAACCTTCCACATTACTAACTTTATTTCATTATGTTTTTAGATATATCCACCAGCAGAGCAAGCCAGTGCGAGTAGTTACAGTTCAGCACCTTCCACACCCGTCAGTTCCCCGCCACCCATAACTCCTTCCGGATGGTTAACAAATCACAGTACACCACATTCACCCCACTACACACAAGCCGTCAGTGTAAATAATACTGTTGCCCCTCAGGGAATACACATGGTGAGTATAGATATACTTTAAGTTGGTATCCATTGCGGTTGATCAATCGTTTTGTGCAACACACTTGGTATAAGACTATTAAGTTTACTCAGCTTCTTTCAATTAACAATGATGTTAGAATATTGATTGTACAAATGTAAGATATTTTCAGACTATTTCCACAAAGGGCTTTACCTCTGTCTCTAGTTCCATCTCCCCTTGTGGAGTATTAAGGGCTTTAAATAAGGATATTAATATACATAAATAATGTACATAAAGGGCTTTAAATAAGGATATTAATATGTGTTTTTGCTGTTGCTGAGCTTATTTTAATTATGGCAAATTCTTAGATTGCGACAGAGTCTTAAAACTCCTCTCTCTGTTATAAATATATAAATAAAAGTAAATCATTCCGGATTTTTGTATTCCTTCCATTTAAAGATACATTTTTAAAATGTTGTTCCCTAGAGCTGAATTTCTTTTTCCAAATCTTATAAAAATTTTTGCTGGAAAATATGAGTGAAGTGAGATGGTATATATATTAAATCTATATTTTAAAGTCTTTTCATTTCCATAATGGAATAAAAGATCTATTTTTTCTCTCAAATAATAGTATAGTTTAAACAGGATCCTATTGTGTTATCCCGTGGGAACTTTATTGCTAAAATGTAAAAACCATTTTTTTGGTTTTTAATATCTTTGTAAGGCAAAATCACTTGGTCGTCCAAAAATCGTAGTGGGAGGGGGGTGGTGGGGAGCCTTACAAAAAAAAATGCAATTATTTTTTTTCATCGTTTTTCGGATGTACAATATCCGAACATTCATTCATCAAATTTGCATACCCATCTGGACATTAGAAATATTTTTATTTTATTTATAAAAATACGTCAAACCATTGTTGTATACGGAGCGCCTTCATTACAAAATCACTTGTTCTGAAAACCCATATTTTTAAAATCTTTTACCTCGCTCTACCTCGAAAAATATTGGGTTTAGCAAAAAATTACTTTCTATAAACATTATAGACCAAAAATCAGAGAACACGTGGGTTTTTTTTAGAATTTCGATTGGATAATTAGTTTAAGAAAAAATCAAATAAATCGAACGGCATGTCACGACTGACAGTGCTGAACGCGGAGATGCGAGGAAGGGCGAGATTCCTGTGCCGAAGTCAAAGCAAATCGACTCTAGTGATGGCGATGTTGTTAGGGTCGATTTTACATTGAAACGCTGTTGTGTTGTATATTCTATTGCGAAAGTGCATCATTGTGCATTATTTTTTACTAATAGCGCGAAATCCACTGAGCTGAGATTTTTAATATTAAAAGTTTTAAATTATTAAAAGTTATTAATTAGCTTATTGCTATAATAAAAATATTAAATATCTACTTAATATTAAAGTAAATATTTTTTTTATCTAGAAACGGATTTAACGAAAAGCAGCAGGTCTGACAGTGAACTTGAGTCAAAAATCAGATTAAGGCATGTTTTTTTTCCATAAAGTCCATTTCCTTTTCAGTTTGTTGAAGGACGCGGAAACTGGAGAATACATTTTTGTTCTAGTTTTCGAAAAATGCATCCTTACTTCTTTGCATTTGGCCATGTGAACTATTCTTTTTGGGGAACATTATATTTGTTGGACATGTACAAATTTGCTGATAAGTATCCAGAATTTCATGAAGACTTTATTAGAGGAAATTTTGTTGTGAAAAGTTTGAACAGAAACTTTTACCAACTATTTGTAGATATAGCTTTAAACACATAAATACAAACTCAAAAGATGCAGGAGGAATCGTGTGATTTACTAAAACCAGCACAAAACTAGACGAATGGTTTTTAAGCTACAATATGATTGGCATATTGTAGCTTAACTGCAGATACCTATAAAGTAATCCATAGAGAGTTCGTGAATACCTATAGATCTTTCGTTGTCCTTTGTTCCAACCCTCATCTAAACTTCTGGAGTTGAAAGGTCTTTAAAATGGGCAGATCGGTAACTTTACAGTCGACTATACATTTTGTATATCCCTCCATTTTTGCTGACAGAATGTGTAATATTATTCTGGTATCGGCCTCTTTATGTGATGAGACTAATATTTCAGAATTCAAACCAAAATTTGTTTTGTAATGTAAAACGTCGCAAAATCCTCTGCTGGATACGAAGTGACCGGTACAATCTGTTAAGGAATATTTAACTAGCTGATTGCTTACGAAGTGTGTAAGCTGGTTTTTATTAAAAACTCAATTAATAAATGAATTCCATTTTTGAGGTAATACTGTATCCGGACCTTCAATTAACCGTTGTATTGATTCAATTTTGGCGCCTCTCTTTTGTCTCGTGCAGTTTTTATGGAAGATTCCTTGTAGTGATCCAAAACAAAATCGACCCTTTTAACGCTCTAGGGGTTCTTGAACACTATTGATTTCAAAATTCTTGCATAGTCGTCAAATGTTTTGGCATTTGATGGTTTGCGAACGGCTTGAATCAATCCCATACCATCAAAAATGTGACACGTTTTGTGATTTTGTAACAACTGTAAACTGTTCTATTATAGAACCTAAGGCAGATTTATTTTATGGTATCGATAAAACTCCTGCTGGTACAAGTGACATTGGATATGCTGTCAATTCCTATTTGAAAATATCCTCATAATATTTATGTCTCTTTCAATTGCTTTGATTGCTAGTATTTTTTGTAAAAATTCTTGCTCAGCTTGAATAATTTTCTTCTTTTCAGAGACAGTTTTATAGGTATCTGCGCGACGAAGTTTTGGAAGATTATTCTCTTTTCTATGCTGATAAAAATTGGGAGTTTCAACAGTAACAATAAATTTTGCTAGGCTCTCTTTTTCATTTTTTTTTTGTATATTAATAAGGATGTTTGAACATTTGGCGATGCAATCTCATTAGCTGAAATTACGAGAAGACAATCTACGCTTTTTAAAAATACATTAAATCGTAAAAACTGATCATGTAGTTTTTGTACAGAATATTCATCAATTTTCATCCGTTTTTTTTCTACTTTCTACGTTTTGACTTGAGTAATTGCTTAGGTCTCATGATGCACGAAATTCATCTACCATCATGCCAATCATATTGTAGCTTAAAACCATTCGTCTAGTTTTGTGCTGGTTTTAGTAAATCACACGATTCCTCCTGCATCTTTTGAGTTTGTATTTATCTGTTTAAAGCTATATCTATGCATAGTTGGTAAAAGTTTCTGTTCCAACTTTTCACAACAAAATTTCCTCTAATAAAGTCTTCATGAAATTCTGGATACTTATCAGCAAATTTGTACATGTCCAACAAATATAATGTTCCCCAAAAAGAATAGTTCACATGGCCAAATGCAAAAAAGTAAGGATGCATTTTTCGAAAACTAGAACAAAAATGTATTCTCCAGTTTCCGCGTCCTTCAACAAACTGAAAAGGAAATGGACTTTATGGAAAAAAAAACATGCCTTAATCTGATTTTTCACTCAAGTTCACTGTCAGACCTGCTGCTTTTCGTTAAATCCGTTTCTAGATAAAAAAAATATTTACTTTAATATTAAGTAGATATTTAATATTTTTATTATAGCAATAAGCTAATTAATAACTTTTAATAATTTAAAACTTTTAATATTAAAAATCTCAGCTCAGTGGATTTCGCGCTATTAGTAAAAAATAATGCACAGTGATGCACTTTCGCAATAGAATATACAACACAACAGCGTTTCAATGTAAAATCGACCCTAACAACATCGCCATCACTAGAGTCGATTTGCTTTGACTTCGGCACAGGAATCTCGCCCTTCCTCGCATCTCCGCGTTCAGCACTGTCAGTCGTGACATGCCGTTCGCTTTATTTAATTTTTTCTTAAACTAATTATCCAATCGAAATTCTAAAAAAACCCACGTGTTCTCTGATTTTTGGTCTATAATGTTTATAGAAAGTAATTTTTTGCTAAACCCAATATTTTTCGAGGTAGAGCGAGGTAAGAGATTTTAAAAATATGGGTTTTCAGAACAAGTGATTTTGTATGAAGGCGCTCCGTATACAACAATGGTTTGACGTATTTTTATAAATAAAATAAAAATATTTCTAATGTCCAGATCAATATGAAAATTTGAGGAATGATTTTTCGGTTATCGTAGATCCGAAAAATGACGAAAAAAAAATTGGCACTTTTTTTTTGTAAGGCTCCCCACCACTCCCCTCCCGCTACGATTTTTGGACGACCAAGTGATTTTGCATTAGAAAGATATTAGAAACGAAAAAAAATAGGTTTTACATTTTAGCAACAAAGTGCCCACCAAAATCTATTCTAGAAGCCTTTTGCCAGTCTATTTACTCTACTATAAAAGATATGTTCTGAGAAAAAAAGGACCTTATCACGACCCGAATACTTACCAATACCAAATGAGAACACATGGCGAGGTCAAACAGATGTATAGGGCTTGTACCATATAAATAACTATCATGTTTGGACGATAGATGAGTGTGCCTAATGCAAGATGGTAAATGCTTTGCTCAATATTATAAGTGGCTCACGATTTAGATAAACAAGATAACACGAAAGAGAAGAACATTTTGGCCACCACCCTGTTTTTGCAAGGAACAGGGAAACCTAGTAAATAAGAGAACTGAAAGGGAATGGGAACTACAATGCGAGAACGATAACGGGGAAGATACGATAACATTATTCAACAGTGACAAAACAGGAGTAATTATACAAGATTATTAATAAATTGAAATAGTAAGTTTTACCCGAAAGAAATAATATGAAGGTTATCTGTTTAGTTTTGCCATTTAGTTATAGCCATAAAGACAAAAATGTATAGACTTACAGTACTATTGCTTTTCAAAACATGTCCCACTAAGATCAATACATTTTTGCACATGTTCAAACTAATTGGGTTATTCCAGTCTTCAGTTGACATCTGCAAAATCACTGTTTTAAAGTCATCGATGGCTTCTTCTGGCGACTGGAATCGCTGCTTATGCATTGAATTCTTGATCTTTGAGAACGTGAAGAAGTCGTTGGGAGTTGGATCGGGGCTATACGGTGGATGGTTTAACAATTCGATGTTTTGAAGAGAACGGATCACTTTTGTTGACCCACACAGGGGATTGGCGTTTATTTTCTGGTGCGTAGGAGTAAATCTAAGATTCATCGCCACTAACAATACTACATATATAAATGTTTTTTGAGCTTCCTTTGTTGAACCGTTCCAATGTTTTTCGACACAAATTGACGCGAACGCCTTTTTGCTTTTCTGTGAGCAAATCAGGGATACAACGAGAAACCAACTTCGTAACAACCAGTTCTTTATATAAGATATTTTGAATCGAGGTCTTTGAATAATTTGTCTGAACAGGTTAATAGAAATATCATGCAAAATTAGCCCTAATGATGAATTTTGAAAAAAGAGAGTTCATTGTATAGGTTCTTGGAAGATAAGAGTTTGCGAATAGACAACGCAAGCAAGCAATTAAGTCTTTTTCGGAAGTCAAGAATCTTATGGACACAATGCAATGCCAAAATATGGCAATTAGAAGTGGGGGCAGATTGCATGTCCCGATGATTTTTTAGCCATGGGCGTAGAAAAAAATTTTGGAAGGAAATAATGGGATGCCTCCACTACAAATCGGCAGATGCGTCTGCGGACGCATCTGCAGATGTATCATTACAAGCTGATCACACATCTGGACACATCTGTAAATCGTTCAGTCTGTGTTAATTCCCAGGAGACGCAATATCTGACGTCTGCACCGAAACCCTTTGATCTGTGTTAAAAAAACCGACAACAATCAGATATCTTGCAGACGCATCCGCGGACGTGATATATAAAGAACAGATGATCAAATTACCCCGCCTACACATCTCCAGATGCATACGTAGATGTCTTCCGCGGACGCGTCTGCCGATGTGTAGAAGAGCCATAAGATACATGAACATGCTTCAGGCAATCGACGTCCTCAAAGTTGTGCAGCTAGTTATAGTGCTACGAGAAGAAGAAGAAGAAATCCATTGTTTACTGTTAAACCGATGTTTCTCGTTCACGTTCTAAACGGTCTAAACGTTCACGTTTAGATATCGAATATCCAGTGAAAAGAGACAGTTAGGAATCATCACATAAAGCTCTCTGCTCATATTTCATAAAGCTAATAATCATTACGCCTGACGAAAGATTGCCTTATTGACAATATAATATCAACCCACACATGGGTAGTTATTCATACTAGGCATGAGAAAAGCAAACTAGGAGTGAACTGCACTAGGAGTGTAATTGGCTCATTGCAAATCCAACTTGTATAGTTTTTCAATTACCGAATCCTTTTAGGTCTTACAATGCGTGCCCATATCGTAGTCCTAAGATCCAGATCGTATATGTTTTTTTTAACTTTTGTGCTTCTAATACTGATTAACGCATTCGTAAGTTATTTCAATTGTTTATATACATATTTCCTCGATTTTTTTATTGTTTTCAAGGGCCTCTTGAAAGATAATCTGAAGAGTTATTACCTACCTTCGAAAAAAAAAATTCCGTGATATTACACACTTTATCGATTTCTAGAATTTTAGTTGTTTTGCTACTTTTTTATATACACAACACGACACAATAATGTATTTAAACAATTGGTGTCTTACCAAATCCTGCATAAAACTATCGAAATCGCAATGAATACATTTAGTTGAATGATTTTCACTTATTGTACTTTTACGTTTTTTAGTTTTATCTAATGTTGATAGTGTCCTTTCTTTAACAGTGCTGCTATTGCTTTTTATTTTGTTTTGATTAAATGTTAACGTATTCAACGTTTTTAGACAGTTTTTGTGTTCGAGCATTCGTAAAGAAGGGATGGAAAGAGTTGCCAATTTGAACGTTTAAAATATTTAATATCTTTTGAAAATATGCATTATTTATTCTGTAGTGATTTGTTTTGTCAATAGTGTGATCTGATAACTATTTTTAGTTTATTTTAAGATATTTTTAGAAAACGATTATGGAATTCACAGTCTAAAACTTATAACGATGTGAAAATCTTAAGATTTACAAGCATATCTTACGAAAAGTTGGACAGTTATGCAAACGTGTCATTACGAATTTATTCACTTATCAAAATAAAGAACATCTTCTGTATAATAGAGAAAATCCCCTAAATATTATAAAAACTATCAAAAACATCTACCAAAACAACAAAATGGAAGTCAGAATAGATGGACAACTTACAAAATCTATAGAAATAGTAGTATAAAAAGGTATAAAAAGCAAATAGACTGGCGGATGACTTAATAACACTATATGTTGAAACAAACAAGTTAACACTGAAATAAAGTCAAGAATTTATAAAGCCAGTGTAGAACAATAATAACATATGCCTCAGAAACAAGACCCGACACAGCCACAACGCAATGGTACTGGAAACGGAAGAGGTAAGAGTACTGAGAACAGGAAAACAGGAAATACGCTCTGAGATCGAAAGAAAAATGGAGACATTAGAAGAAAATCTAACATACAGTGTATAAATGAATGGACACAAAATAGGAAAAAGGATAGAATAACCACATAAGCAGAATGGAGGAGATCCGTGTCGTCAAAATAGATAAGTCATCAATCGGCAGAAGAAGTATCGGACGACCGCGCAAAAATGGAGTGACATCCTTCTATATAGGTATTAATCCGCCAATGAACAAGCAGAATTGCTTATAAAGAGGAAGAAGAAGAAGATTAAAATAATGTCCGTGGAAGTATTTATAATACCTTAAGGTCGTGTGAAGACTATGTGAAGACCACTTATTTGAAAATAAAACCAGTCTGACTGACTGTCTATCTGTCTCTCTTTATCTCTCTCTATATCTGTCTAACTCTGTCTCTATCTCTCTCTATCACTGTCTAACTGTCTCTCCCCCTCTCTCTCTCTCTCTCTCTCTCTCTCTTTCTGTCTGTCTCACTATCTCTCTTTGTCTTTTGCCGTTACCCAATTACTGAGTGTCGTGATATCCCCAAATACAGCTAACTAAATACTTCCGTTGGTTTTTATCTTAAGGTGCACTTTTGCGGTTGGAACGACCCGTTGAATGCCAGATTTGCTTAGTCCACCTAGTAGGTAACCGCTCCATTTGCTCTTCTTCTTGGAATGATTCCAGAGACAATAGTCTTTCTAAATAATTTTCAGTCCTGTGGGCCACAGGCCCAAAAAACTGAAGAATTCGCTGTATACAAGTTGTAGACATGTTTCATTATAATAAAAACTACAGAACTTTAAGAAAAAATTTGATAACGCTATAGGGAACATCTAATTAATATCTGAAACCCTTTAATAGTGGGTTCTTAAACTTACTCCGGCGATACAGTTGGTAATTATAATATTTAAGAGGGTATAGAATTTATGTAAAAATTAATGAATGTTAACACTATGTGACACAATCACAAAAGTTGGTAAAAAACAAAAGCGTAGTTTTCAAAAGGAAATTTAGTTGTAAACTTAGATAGGCAACCAAAATTACTTTTGAATTTAACAAGACATCAATCATCCAATAGCATCCACTGTTGGACATCCCTTCCTCCAGTTCTTCACAGTGTTGTCTATACTTAGCCGCTTTCTAGCCAGTTTAATGCTTTTTTACGTCGTCGGATACTTAATCTTAATATAGTTTAATGAAAAAAAAAAAAAAAAAAATAGATGTAGCACCTTTTTAGATAATATATGTAAAATAACTGTTATCAGATCAAACGAGTTACGTAAAACCCATTTTTATTTGACAACCTACATTTTTGGCAACTCACAAAGTTCCCTAATGTTTATTTTAGTTTTTGTTTTTATTTTTGCATGACGTTATTTTATGTTTTTTGTGTGATGAAGGCTCCCGCACCTGAAGCACAGCGTCTAGATGATGCTATCGGCTTTCTTAGAGATCATTCCGAAGCGACGGTAAGTGTTTTATTTCATTTAATTTTACATTGCTATTTTTTAACCTTTTTTTTGCAATGGAATTGAATGTATCTAGGTATTTTTCTTATCAAATTACAATAAAAGGGTATGTGCAAATATACAGAGTGGACCAAAAGACTAGAAACGCTTAATTCTCTGTTAAATGTATGGTCCGAATTGTACAAAAACCGAGATACGGCTATTTTGCAATTCTGTGTGAATTCATTGGGATATATTAATAATGAGTTTTGTACTTTTGGTAAAAACAGAAAGAATGTATTAATGAAGACCAAGGAAAATAGCCAAATCGAATAGGGAACCTGAAGATGGAACAACTGATTAAGTCAAACAGCCAGCTGAAACTAGAAAAGACAGATAAGGACTTAAAAATCTAAATGAATACAACTTTTATAATATTAGTAATCAACATGTAATAATTTAATGGAAAAACTGGAATTGATCTAAAATCAGTTTTTTGTGAAACTCCTGTACCCCCAGACACTCAACTACCCCTACCACTATCATTAGTTTAAAGACATTATTAAGGCCAATGAAATATTTTCCAATTTATTTGTTCTCTGTGTGATTCTACATTGTCTTTTGGCTCTTCTGTGACTCCTTTCCCCAATTATTTCTTTTAAATCATGAATGTGTTGCCTGTGTGAGTCCACAGGCAATAGGCAAAAAGAAATAAATAAGACTTACTCACAATCAGTTTAATTTAACTACCAAGACGACCGGTTTCGCTACCTACAAGTTGAAAATCATCTTCACTTTGCACCGACTGACCTGAAGATGCTTTGCAAATTGTAGAAAGCGAAACTGGTCGTCTTGGTAGTTAAATTAAACTTATTGTGATTAAGTCTTATTTATTTCTTTTTACCTATTCTTTTAAGTTTTCTCAAATATACAACATCAAACACACATCTCTTGAGATGATAGGAGTCTTGGACATTTCTTTGATACCGGTGTTTATACTTGCCCTTTTCATATCACGATCACTGGTCTACATATTTCTCTTAAAAAGTTGCGTTTCTGATCTGTTACTAATCCATTTTCTCACTTTTTCAAGTTACATGTTTTCGATCTCCATATCATCATATTTTGCCTGCCTATTATATCTGTCTGTCCTTTTGCCTTCGGTAATTGTCTATAATCGTTGATCCTAGGTTTTTAAAGTCTTAAATTTTTCATATGCTCTTTGAAACGTTGATTCAAACGCTAATCTCATTAATGCCTGGTTGCACCAACATATCTTAAGCTTAAGACGTGCCTTAGGTAGGCCTCAGCTCAGACTGATCGACCGACCACGACCAAACTGTCCGACGGCGATCAACCAAATTTTTGTATTTTAATTTTCAAGAATATAAAGAATATTTTAGAATCGAAAATTATAGTGCAACGTAAGTGAGAGTTAAGGCAGCCCTAGCTATAAGCAGAGCTTGGCTAAGCTGGAGCTTAAGTTCTATTGGTGCAACCAGGCATTAATCCATACTTTTATTATTTACTGATAACACATTATGTAATTGTATTATGCTTAAACTTCTATAAAAGTCTTACATATTATTCCAATTCATTTTTTCAACCACATATAATCACCAGAATCACATATAATCTTGTAAATTTTCATGAAGAAATAATTTCTACATCACATTACTGGAACCCATTCTAAATAAGACAGCAAAAATAAAAAGTATTACCTAGATCATGATTACATCAAGTTTAGACCAAAGAAAAACATGCTACGCGACATAACAACAATATTCACAGGACACTGTCACCAGAAACAGCTCCTGGCTATATTAAAATTACCTAAATATGCAGTATGCATATTTTGTTAATTATATGCAATCAATAGAAATTTTGATTACTTGATTATAAATATACAAAAACATATTTCTTGTATCGATACTAATATCTTATGTTTTTTTAGGGTACCAGGATGGAGGAGAGGCTAGACGACGCAATAAATGTCCTTAGGAATCACGCGGAGCCCTTAGGTTTAGTTGGACAAATACCTGCACATCAAATGGCACAACTCGGTTACGCCGCCCCTCCTTCCTCAGAACCCCATCTTACTGATAGTATTAAAGTTGAAAGGCCCACATACAACACCAGTAAGTATTTGTTTATGAATTTGGAGTACAAGTATGAGTTATTTATATCTTACCTCCAGCTTTTTCATCATTCTTTAATTTTATTATTTTAATTAATTGCTGATAATCTGTTCTGCATGTCATTTCAACTGGTAGACATTTAACTTACACATTTTCTACAATATACACTTGAATATTTTTTAGACTAATTGTATAACAGTAGTTTTCGAATCTTGTCATCTTTTCAATTTTGAATGCGATTCTATTTTAAACTTTATAGAACTAACTTGTGCTGGACTGGTCATATTTCGTATTTTTGAGTATCATTATATTTTGTAAATTGGAGATAATACTAGCAGATTAAGTGTACCCGTGTCAAAGAAGCAGACTTTAAAACGAAATTTCTTCTGTATCACTCTTGGCTTAGTGGCTGAAGCCTTTCTTAAAATTAATGTTTCTGTTCCACACTTCCGAAAGCACTAGACTTTTGTTTTTAGACATATCGGTAAATGATTTATATTCAATTCGAAAGCCATTCATACATTTGGTTTTCATGGCCTGGTGTCCCAAGTGTATGTATCGTGACCACATATCGATTACCATTCAGTTCATATATTCTTCATATTTTCTGTCCCAGTAGGCTTTAAATGACCCAAAAGCAATGCCCTCACTGACTATTTGCAAAATCACCACATAGCCGGAATTTCCCGTGTTAACAAGTCAGGATAGAGTTTATAGGTTCGCTCATGGTGCGGCTGTAGTTGGCGGCAAATTCAAAATGAATTGTGAAGAGGAATGTGGAATTTGATCATAGCGTGGTGATAATTTGTCTTCCAGTTCAGTTCCAGTTCAGTTTAACCAACTGTTAATTTCTCTTTACCAATTGTTCTGCCCCGAGAAAAGTGGCACTGCTTATTATGGGGTCAAACGGGACACAGTCCTTTCTAAGCAAGAGTTGAGCTGATGTTTTAAGTCTGAAAAAACTTCGTTGTGTGGTGCGTTGTTGTAGGATAGTCCTAGTTTTAGTAGCTTTTCTTTCTCAAGTGTTTGCTTCAAACATGTAAAATGTTTCAATTCACCTTGGATCATATTGTGTTCCCAGAGAGCAAGCTTTTTTCAAAATGACCAAAAAAAATCTGACAGTGTTTTAAACTTTGCTTGGAGCTGCAAGTTTAGGCCATGTAACTTTTCGGTAACATCTACAAGAAATGCAAAATCTAGCTGCCAAACTGGTCCTCTCTTTTAAGAAATCTACTAACATAGGAAGCAGCTCATTAACACGCTGCAAAACTCTGTCTCTGCTAAGTTAATGACTACATACTTCAGTATGTGGTAAAGTCACAAATACTGGCAATCTAGGTCAACAGTTAGTTTTATGAATAATTGTGTCTGAAGTTCATGAGCTCTCACTTCATTCACTACTTTCACAACAGTTTTCATAACATAACATACAATGATATGAATGACACTTAGGAAAGCCACTTCCCTTACGGCACAACGACATGAGCTCTCTGTCAATGCCCACGATTGATAAAGCACAATCGGTTGAGATAAATACTAATTTAGTGAGAAAATATTTTAGAGTCTACTTCAGTTTTCACTGCTAAATATATGTCGTGTCCTTCGGCACGACATAGCATCAAAGCTATCGAAAGTCATTCATACAAAAATAGCTAACTTAACTCTTGTTTAAATTCAAATATGGTTGGGTAAACTAATCAATTCATATGTCCTCTCTGTATTCCTACGATCCCTATAGTACCGCTCGGTCTAGGGGAATGCATATCGCTAAACACAAGAGCGTGAGTCGTTAAGAGGGTCAGACGCAACCCGACAGTGAACAAATCTCCTTATATCGAATTCGTTTTGTTCGTTATTTTGTAAAGTAGTGTAAATCATGGTACTTAGCTTCAATTAGCGGTAAGTTTACCTAGATTTACCTGAACCTATAAATTGTTTTTGATTGTTTATTAAATAATTAGTTAAAGTTCATTCATCTCGCCAGGGCTATCGAAGGAAATATAGTTCATGTTAATTTAATCATTATTAATTCTCGTAATAGTTCATTGTTTGTTTAATTCGCCACAACTGTATTTAACGACATCAGTTGATTTCGTGGTCTTCATTCGTGGTTGTCATTCGGCTTATATGATCCTTCCTTTCTACTCTTCTATTTCTTACCCAGTTTGTGATGTTCTCCACCTTGCATCTACGTCGTATATCTGTACTTTTAGCTCTGTCCCATAGTGTTTTACCATAAATTTTTCTAACGAGGCACTCTGTTGTTCCCGATAAAGTTACCAACAGTAATCCCCCATTATGTTGGTGTCCCAACGTCTCTGGTATCGTTTCTCCATCACCTTGATTTGCTGGTGAAATCGTTCTCCGTGTTCTTCACTGGCATGACCTATATTTTTAGGGAAAAAGTAAATATGGTTAAGCAAATAGTGGATTTTAAGGCTCAATAGACATCCAAATATTTAAACTTATCTAATAAATTAGTTTCTATAAGCTTGTAGTTAGGGTCTTTATCATTACCTAAAAACTTGAATGGTTACATCGTTTTTGAATGCAATCCAATCTTCTTTTTCCTTAGTACTCATCTTGGTTTCAAAGGTGGAGTCGAACCTCATTTTACGAATATCTGGTCCAACAAAAACACCTTTCAATTTGGATTCTGATAGATGGGGAAACTTTCCACTCAAGTAACATTCTCCATTCAATCGAATGAACTATCTTATAAGTAAAGTCGTCCCAGGAGCACAACTCAACAATATTGTCAATATCATTTTAAAGTCGTCTACTTTAAAATGTATAATGTATATTTGAATTGTCAATATAAATGAGTCAGATAAAATTAAATTGTTAGAAGAATTTTTCACTAAGCAACAAAAAAACAAAATTTGTTTAATTTACTAATGTTTCTATGTTGAGAACGATTTCCGAAGTGGAAATTGAAACGTCAATAAAGTATTTTAACCTTTAATTGTGGCTTATTCCCATTTAAATAGTAATTACATAAGATAGAGGTAGGTAATTTTATCAAAAAAGTTTTTCATCGTTGGCTTGTGTAATTTCGCATATGTCTGTAAAGAGTATTGTAAATACCAATTGTAAAGAGGTACTCGTAACCAAAATAATTGTTTTGGTCTATTTATGTATATTTATGTTCTATACGATCATTTTTTTTTTTTTAGAAAAACGTAAAGAGCCACCAGACACGGATACAAAACCATCCAGTTCAGTAGAAAGCTTAGTACAACCAAATTCAACCAGTGGTGCTCCTGCAAAATCGACAAAAAGGTCGAGGAGATAGTAAGTAATTTTTTTATGACATTTCCATGTTATAATTTTTTATATTTCATTAAAACAATGGCAACTTTAGTTAAATGAATTTTACTAAGATCAATGGCAAAGCAATTTATTGCTTGATTTAATTTATACTGTTATTGGTCAGATATATTAAACTTATATTTCAAGGAAAATTAGTAACATTGACAAGTTAGCAATACACATTGAAAAAGAGACAGAAACTATAACTGTAATGTATGCCTATAGAAAAAAGCGTACATGCATCCTGCAAGTAATTCTGTGTTGTTTTTTAACTAAAAAAAAAAAATACAATTTTTATAATTTTTTACTTATCTTACTAATCCTAGACATTAAACAGTACAAGAGAGTAATATACCAAATAAAATTATAAGAATGGTAGAAATGAGAATGCGAGATTCCCAAGCAATAATAGACGCCGGAAGAGAAAGAACAGAAATAATAAAAAAAGTGAGTAAGACAAGGAGATGCGCTCTCAACGGTACTATTTATTTTATCTCTAAGATAATAAAAAAGCTGTCAAACGCAGGAATTATAAACAAGAATGCAATTCAAATAATAGAATATGCGGACGATATAACCATAATAACAACAGATAAAAAGGCATTAAAGAAAACCTTCCAAGAAATAAAAATCGAAGTCAAACTGAGAGGAATCGAAATAAATGAAACTAAAACAAAATACATGAACGTTAACAAGAAAAAGAGGAGATAAATGACAGAATTGGCAATAGATGCATATAGTTTCGAAGGTGTAAAACATTCTAATATTTGTAGTACTAGTCAACAAGAAATGAAAGTGTAGATATGAAAAGAAGAATTCAAGTGGGAAATACAACTTTCTATAGAAATAAAAAAAATTTTAGAGGTAAGAATATAAGCCGAAACACAAATGAAAATTTACAAAACTACCCTAAGACCAAAAGTAGTATATGCTGCAAAAAAAATTACATTAAAAGCAAGAGAAGAAGAGTGATTGAAAGTTTTTAAGAGGAAGATTATTAGAAAAATACTGGGACCAAAGAGGGAAAGCGAAGAGGATGCAGTACAATGGATGAATCACGAAATACAAGAATGTATTGGTCAAGAGAACATAGTTATAGCAATAAAAGCACAAAGAATTAGATGGTATAGACACATAATGGTGAAAGAAGACTTAAGGAATATGGAAATTAGAAATATAAGAATAGACAATCAAACAAAGAGAAGAAATGAGAAAAGTAGTGCAGAAACAGCGAAGTCACACCAGAAACTGTAAAACCAAACCCAAAAAAGGAGATGATCCCCAACACAAAAAGGATCTTCAAAACAGCGTCAGCTTTTTCGGGAGCGTGTATATTTATAATAATATATATATATATATATATATATATATATATAATATATATATATATATAATGATTAAATACAATGTTACGCACTTCTTTCAACAAAATATATATATATATATTATATATATATATATATATATATATATATATATATATATATATATAAATATATATATATAAATATATATATATATATCCTCCTAACATTGCAGACTCTGCATTAAGGTTTTTACCATACACAACGGACTCGAGCGATTTATGGACTCAATATACAGAGTCCGTAAAGTTTTTCATGTATTTCTTTTAACTGATTGTTATTTTCTACCAAAATTTTATTGAATGAGAAACTAGAGACCTCTACCTACTGCACAAATGTATTACAAAAATTGTGGGTATTATAAAATAGCTGCAAATTATAAAACAAAATGAGTCCGTAAAGTCGCCTTTAATTCAGCCATTTGCCGTAGAGAGCGCTTTTATGAGTATACTGAATGTGTATGTCACTTATGTGTTAAACCATATTGCCATATTACAGACTCGACTTAGCTGGCAACAGTGTTGTTCAACTATTGAATCATTTTATCTGGCTCAAATTACAGAGTAAGATTGTTTACGTTCATATGGTGATGTTATCGTTAATTTTTATGTGTTGGAAAATGTATATATTTAGTAATATGTACAGTGTATATATTTAGTAAAATAAACGAGGATATTTTGTTTCACAGAAATTACTTCGACACTGAAATTTTTAATAAACGAACACGTATTTCTATTTATATACTCGTATAGAATAAGCTACTTATTTTTTATTCAATTGAAAAGTTACATTGAGATTAGATTTTTGAAAGGACGCAATTTAATTTTTTTGATATGTGGGGGTGGTGAGTATAAACTTCAATTCAAGTTTGTGAAGTCGCAACCCTTGTTCCCAGGCCGTCATCTTGGAAAAAGAGAGGCAAAGGGTTTTTGCGCTGTATCTCGTAAATTAGCAACTCTACAGAAAATTTTATTAATCATTATTTTTACCAAATTAAATTTTCTACAACTTTATCTGTATTACTTTTTATCGGAAAATAAAAAATAAAAAAGTTATAAACCAAAATAACTAAAAAATTTTGAAAATTTTTCTATTGTGCTTTTCGCTTATAACTTTTTCTAGCGATTTTACAATAAAACAATAATTAAAAAAAAAACAATAAATAAAAAAAAATGGATGGTTGTGTAGCCGTGTGAAAACTTTTGTAAATGGATTCCGTTAATAAATAAAATGATATCAGAGCAATATCATAGAGTAATTTTCACTACAAATTTGTTTATTTTCATTCATTTTCTAGTTTTTGCAGTGCTCCAATGTTGATTGGGTCCTTGAATACTCGCCATCTTGAAATAAGGAGTGTAAAGGAAAGTGAAAATTTTATAAAACATTATTTATAGCAAATTAAATTGTATTTATATATATTTAACTTTTAATCGAAAATTGAAAAAAAAGTTACAAACAAAAATAACTAAAATCTTTGAATAAATCTTTTGGGCCTTATAACTTTTTTCTGGTTATTTTAAAATAAAATTACATTAAATCGACCTTAAGCTTAGTTTTTTTATTATATATTTTTTTTCTTCATATCATTTATTATTTTGTTAACCTTCCTATGGGCTCTCTCTCTTTCTCGCTCTTTCTCTCTCTCTTCAATCTCTCCTCTCAAATGGAGTGTAGTGATCATCGTGATTCCTATGGTATTATTAGTTTAATATTGATCTTTTTCCCAATCACCTATGAGGTAGAGTCTGGAAGTTTTTGAACAAACTTTTGTTTGAGCCTTATAAATTTTTTCTGGTCATTTAGCAATAAAAGACATGAGAGCACTATTATAGAGGGTTTTCAACGAATAATTTTTACTGCAAATATGTTTTATTTCATGAATTTCTTTGGGTTTTATAGCATTCCGAAGTTGACCGGATTCATGAGTACTCATAAAAATATGATAAAAATGAACAATTCCACTTAGTTTCCTGTTATATATTTTTTTACTCACATCTTTCGGAATCAATTTATCATTTTCTTAACAGTTCTATGTTATTATTATTTTCTTATCGACCTTTTTTGCCAACAAAAAACTTTCTCCGTGTCATGCGCTTTCGTCGCACAAAAAAGCACAAACCGACAGAGATAACGTTTAATAAGAGTACCGTGCCAACAGTATCCTAACATCAACTTCTTAGTAATGTAGAGAACCAAAAAAACCTAATGGATCTTCACAAACTGCTCTATTAGAAGTGGGTTTTAGTGTCGTCCAGGCAGAATCTGATGCAGACACAGTCAGAACCTGTTTTGCGCTTGCTTAATTTAAATCATATGCTTCTAAGACTGTCGTAACAGACGACATTGCCATTCTTGTCTTGCTTACGGCATTAAGAATTAAGCGGTGTAATGTTGTGTGTCAAAAGTGTCCAATTTTTTTAAACCTTCAAAAGGGTGTAAGTCGCATCAATTATACTGGCCTTTAAGTTTTATGTATGGCGATCATTGCAGAGTTTTGCTATTTTCCCATGCTATTTCAAGTTGCCACACAACATCAGCAGCTTACAAGATCGGCAAAATTCATTAAAATTTTACAGAAACACCCTTAATTCGCTAGCCGAACAGTGAGAAGGCCCAGATAGCTTTGTTCACTGTCGTTGGCGAATATTTTTTTGTCTCTTTATATAATGGAAAGAAAGATGATTCTCTGACAGCATGAGATACAAACGATTTGCCGAGACCAAAATGACCAAAGTGACCAAAAGTATATTTAACTTATCATTGATTCCGCCAACACAAGACACAGCATGTTTCGAAAGTCTTAGAATTTATCAGCAGAAAACACTGCGATCCTGAAGTTTGAGGCTAAAAAACGTAAAAAAATTTGGATAACAATCAAAATTTCAAAACTCCAGCTCCCTTGAACTTCTAAAATAAATTTTCTGCAGATGCAAGGCAAACTGTGAAAGTATGTGTGGTTGCCAAAACGCAGACCTCAAATGCTCTAAAGTGTGCCTTAATTGTTCTGGTGAAACCTGCAGTAATATCATGGAAATATCAAAATTAATCAAAAGTTTCTAAGAATTTGAAAATGAATTACTCACAATTACGCCAATTTTAACTCTACTGAATTAGGAACACAGCCTCGACTATCAAAGAAAAGTAACAAACAATAGCTGGAAAACAACTTCTTAAATATATAGTTATGCTCAATATTATCTCACTTAGAAATTGTTTGTGGATTAAGCCTAATGGGAATAACACTTAAAAACGCGCCTTCAAACTTTGCTTCATACATTCTCGGGAAAAAGTAGATAATAAACGAATAATCACAAAACAATGTTAACAAAATAATAAATTGTATAAATAAAAAAATATAAATACTTATACTAGAAAACTAAGCGTAATCGTTTTTATCGTATTCTTACGAGTATTCAAGAACATTGGAGTTCTGTAAAATCCAAAGAAATCAATGAAATTAAACAAATTTGTAGTAAAAATTATTCTTTGAAAAACCCCCTATAATATTGATTGAATGTAATTTTATTGTAAAATGACCAGAAAAAAGTTAAAAGATGGTGACCGGGGGACAAGAATGGCGACCCAACAAACTTAAACTTAAGTTTATATTCCACA